GACCAAAACAGACAACAGTTGTCTGTGGATGACAAAAGGTTTTAGGGCAGCCGTAGTCAAAGATATAATCCATAAAGAAATTTGTTACCTCTGTAGCACACAATAATTTAACATAACAATTATAATTATTATTGATAATGTACACTATGTCATATCAGAATTATAGGAGTTTCCCTTGATTTTGGAACACATACCAATAACATATTTGTATAAATATAACCTAAAGAGAACTAAACACCATTTCATATTTGACAATGTTTCCTGTGTAATTTTTATACCAAATAAGACAAATTATATAACGTTTGGACTTTAGGGAACCTAATATCTTAAAGGATTAATTAGGTCAGAAAAAGACATAATTTATAATTTGATTTTGGAAAGGTCAGAGGTTTAAAACACTTGGTATCACAGATAATTATAAAATAAGTCATTCATTTGACCAAAGTAATAATTCAAGGATTTTTTTTAAAAAGGTGAAAACCTTCATTCTTTGAGAAAGAAGACTTAATTTTCCAAACAATATGCCCTAATAAAATAGCATGAAGCCAATTAAATTTGTTTTTCAAAATTTTATGAACTATCTATAAAATTTTAATCTTGAACGTAAGATATAGCTTTCATAAGCCTTTTATGATCTTTATAACCTTTACTAAGGAGTTGGTTACTGCTTCAAGAAAACCTTGTTAATCTGGCACAGGGGCCCATATGCTGGTCTTGCATCTGTGTGCCTTTGACAATAATGATTAATACGTAGAGAAACTGAACGTATTTTATCTCTCAAAATCAGCCCTTATAATCTCACATGCTCTCCCTCCGCCAAAAAAAAAACCCAGACATACAAATGGCCAAAAGATATATGAAAAAATGTTCAACGTCACTAATCATCAGGGAAATGCAAATCAAAACCACCATGAGAAATCACCTTTCTCCAGTGGGAACGCCTATTATCAGAAAGTCAAAAGATGAAATGTTGGTGAGGAGGTGAAGAAAAGGGATCCTTTACACACTATTGGTGGGCATGTAAATTAGTACGGCCATTATGTTCAACAGTATGGGGGTTCCTCAGAAAACTTGAAAATAGAACCACTGTATGATCTTCCATTCCACTACTGAGCATATATCCAAAGGAAAAGAAGTCAGTGTTGAAGGGGTGACTGCATGCCTGTATTTAGTGCAGCACTGTTCAAATAGCCGAGATATGGAATCAACCTAAGTGCCATTCAGCAGATGAATGGATAAAGAAAATGTGATATAGATACACAGTGGAATACTATTCAGCCATAAAAAAGAATTAAATCCTGTCATTTGCAACAACACAGATGAACCTGGAGGGCATATGTTAAGTGAAAAAAGCCAGGCACAGAAAGACAAGTCCTCCTGCATGGTCTCCCTCAGGTGTGAAATTTTTTTTTTTTTTTGAGATGGAGTCTTGCTCTGTCGCCCAGGCTGGAGTGCAGTGGCCGGATCTCAGCTCACTGGAAGCTCTGCCTCCCGGGTTTACGCCATTCTCCTGCCTCAGCCTCCTGAGTAGCTGGGAGTGCAGGTGCCCGCCACCTCTCCCAGCTAGTTGTTTTTTTGTATTTTTTAGTAGAGACAGGGTTTCACCGGATTAGCCAGGAAGGTCTTGATCTCCTGACCTCGTGCTCCGCCCGTCTCGGCCTCCCAAAGTGCTGGGATTACAGGCTTGAGCCACCGCGCCTGGCCAGGTGTGAAATTTTTAAACATTTGTCTCATGGAATTAACAGAATAGAGGTTAGAAGAGGCTGGGGATGGTCGGGGGAAGGGAGATGGGGAGAGGATGCACAGTGGATACAATGCTCTGGTTAGATGGGAGAAGTAAGTTCTGGTATACTAATGCACAGTTAGGTGACTATAGTTCACATAAAGGTATATTTCAAAAAAGCTAGAAGAGAGGAATTTGAATGCTCTTATCACAAAGAACCGATAAATGTTTAAGGCAGTGTGTATGCTGATTACCCTGATTTGATTGTTACACAATAAGTGCGTTGAAACATCATACTGTACCCCATAAATATGTACAATTATTATGTATCAATTAGAAATAAAAAAGGATGTAATGACAACAGAAACATCAGTTAGATAAAAATCCATCAATATGTAATGATACCAAACAATAAACAAAACAACGCATTGGTCATTACTGGAGTTTGATAGGGCAAGAGTTCTCCACTCAGTAAATAAAGGGAAAGACTCAACTATTTATTAATGTCTGTGTTGTCTGTGTTCCAGGATAACCAAATGATTGATGAGGAAAAAAATCCTTCCTTATAGGCAAGTTCTAGCTTATAAGTGCAGAGGAATTAGAGAATTAGAAAATCACCAGTTTGTAATTCCTGATGAAATAATAGATCTGGCAACAATTTATAGCCGACACTTGAATCCTTTAGGAGAAGGTGGATGGGGCCTTTGCACTGGATGGGCCATGCTGACAATTGGGCATAAGCGTTTGACTCTGGAAACCCCACTGAAGTGGCGATGGGGTCGTGTGGTAGTAGGGGAAAGCCAAGAAGCAACCCCCATTCCCCGTGCCTAGCAGGAGCACCACGCGGCAGTAGGCACTGCTGAAAATCACTGATGATCGGTTACATATCCACAGATCACCTCTGCCCCTGCAGCAGGCGACGGTCCCTTTTCCGTCCCAGCAGAAGATGAGCATTTGACTCCCTTCAGGGAGTCACCAGGCACAGCCGGAGAGGTGTGCCCTGCAACGCTCAAGGGGAATAAGTGAATATTGAGGTACCCCCAACCTAGCCTTCCACGAAGCTCTGAGAGTGCTCATAGCCAGGCTGTACCCCTACATAGGAAATTCCTCCACAGGATAGTGACCAGACCTAAAGCACAAACACGGGGGTTCTCTAACGAAATGGCACAGCCAGACCACGCTGCAGTGAAGCAGCTTCCCTGTGCTACTCAGTGTGTACGTTATTTTCTGTCTAGAAATGCCGTTCAGAGCTTAGCCGAATGATACACTGTGGTGCATTTCCTTTCTTGGATAACAGTGCAAGTGGCATGAGGCACTGCAAATAGATCCCTTTCCTTCTTCATTTCAGCAGCATTTACCGAGAGTGCGTATGGGGTGGTAGATTTCAACTGAATAGGATACCTCACCCATAAGTGCTCTGCCTAACATTAGGCAAATTAGATAATATACATGGTATCAGCTGGAGCCCTTTGGGAGATTTTTATAGATTGAGACTGGTTAAGTTATTTAAAGACTTTTTTCATGTTTCAGATTAACCTTGTTGTGTTGTATTCAAAAGTCATTTTGGTCACTTTTCTGCTCTGCTCTCTGGCTTCCTAAGAATGATGCAGGCTGGGTGTGATGGCTCATGCCTGTAATCCCCGCACTTTGAAAGGCCAAGGCGGGGGGATCACTTGAGCCCAGGAGTTCAAGACTAGCCTGGGCAATGTAGTGAGACCTCATCTCTACCAAAAATTAAAAAATCAGCCACGCATGGTGACACATGCCTATAGTCTCAGCTACTTAGGAGGCTGAGGTGGGAGGATTGCTTGAACCTGGGAGGCGGAGGTTGCTGTGAGCTAAGATTGTACCTCTGCACTCCAGCCTGGGAGACTAGTGAGAACCCGTTTCAAAAAAAAAAAAAAAAGAAGAAGAATGCTTTGCTTAGGCACAGACAATTCCTATGGTAGCAGTTTACCAATTAATACATGTGCCTGAGCTCTATGAAGTCCTTGCCTTGATATTTATTATTTATGGTCACCAGCTTCAGTGGAGCACTTGGCTTCACTTTGCAGCTATTTACCTGCTCTTTGTCCATTCCAGTGCATCTATATGATAATGATGATAATGGTTATTATCATTTCCGTTTTTTCAGTGCACCGTATCTGCCAGTCATTGTTTTTTTTTTAATGCATTATCTCATTTATCCTTAGTAATTCCTGATACAGGCACTCCTCTTACTGTAGGCAAACAAGATGCAGAACGGTTGAAGGACTTCCCCTAAGGTGGTAGCACACTAGACAGGGAAAGACCAAGGCGTCTCCTGGAGTGGGATCTAACTTCGCTGTTCTAGGTCTCATCCCTGGTGATCGTGTCCCTCTGCTGCTCTTCTCTCCAAGTCCTCTGTCTTCCTCATCAGCAGTGACTTCGGTATTTCACAGAGAAAGTAGATGCTGCAAGGAGAGACTCCCTTGTTCACACCCGTCCCGTAATCCCATCCTTTCCTTAATTCTTTAAAACACTCTAGTGAGAAAACCACAGGCCTAAGGCCAAGTACATGGTCTTTGACAAGCTGCTTAACTTCACTTGGTCTCAGGTTTTTCATTTGCAAAGTGGGGACCCGAGTGCCTGCCTTCCAGAGCCAGCCTGAGTCATAGAGCACAGCAGTGCTCCTGAGCTCTGTCGTGCTGTGGTGAGAAGGGGTCTGTGTCTGTGGCCTGTCTAGAGTGTGCCGTGGGCAGTAAGCGGACATGATTATCGCCTGTGTCCTCTTTTCCTCCCTCCTTGTGAAAGGGATGGGGAACAACAGTCTTTTCTCACAAAGCTCTACATTTGCTTCAAAAATGTTGATTTGCACTTATTTGCCTAAGTATCTGTCATACAGATAAATTACAGACTCCTGAGGGACAGACAGGTCCTGGCGTTTTGCTTGGTAATTACCTAGTAATTGCCGAAAAAGTATTGTTAAGTTATAAAATGTACTGATTCTCTAGTCCTGCCTACAGACTTTCTTGAAATTTGATAAGGGTTTATTTTCTTGGAAAATGGAAGTCTCCTGGAGGATACTAACTTAATTTCCCTTTTATCCACAGGCCCTTACGAGGAGCAGTTGCTGGTGATTTTCAAATAAGTGGAATATAGCTTCTGTTTTGTTCTGGCCTCTTTTGCTCACTGCCCCTTAATTTCTGTCAGAAGATTGGACTCATTGGACTGTCATGAAATGCCCCAAGTAAAATGAAAGCCAGCCACTTTGACTTTTGCCTAATAAATCTTTATTTTGTGTTCATCTTCTCTTCAGAAAAGAAAGATGTGACCCAAAGCCTAGAGAACTATACGTCCAAGTGTCCTGGGACCATGGAACCCATCGCCCTCCCTGGCGGCCTCACCCTGCCGCCGGTACCCTTCACCAAGCTTCCCATCGTCAGGTGAGATGGGCCCTGCAGAGCGGGAAAGGCAGCTGCCCTCCGGGACACCGTCCTCTAGTCTGATTATGAATAGAGGTCTTTAGAAGAGCTCCCATTTTTGGTTGTTGGCTATGTATCAGGTTCATTATCTCATTAAACTGGAAAGCAGCCCTATGACATGGAAGTAAGTATTTTAGAGATGAGAGAGTCAGGGCCAGCGACATTCCGTAACTGCTGCAGTTCCATGCCCATTGAATGGCAGAGTCCCGTCTGCACCCAGCCTTGCTTGGTTCCAAAGCCTGCCTTGCGACCACTACACCGCAGTGGAAACCGGCATGACCACATCATCTTCTCCTTGGAAGCTTTCAGTCGTTTCCCTCGCCGCAGGCCATGCACCCCAGCCACACGGGAACAGGGCAGCTCCTCGCCCACACGAGTGCTCGCCAGCTCCCGTCTTTGCTCTGCACGGCCTCTGCCTGGCAGGCTGTCTCCTCTCCCGTCTTCATTCTGTCTGTGCTCCCTCGTTCCTCCACACTCATCCTCAGCCCCATTTCCAGGACACCTTTTCTGAGAGGCGAGCTCCCTGACTTTCCAGGGCTCCCATTGCTCACCACTCTCCCAGGATTTGCTGCCATGTGCCGTCCTTTCTGTGTAACTGTCACTCCTAAGAGTGTGCGATTTGAGAGCGGAGACCCTATGGCACGTGCGAAGTGGGTCCTTGCAGAGGGGTTTTGTTTTTTCTTAACCACTCCAGGCTTAGGACCTGCGAAAGCTTTATCAACTAGTCTTGTGAGGTGATTTCTGAATTTCTGAAAGATTTGTTTGAAGACTGGAAAGAAACAGTTGAATCTGACATTTTGCTGTTGGTTGGAAGTGCTGTAGCCTTAGGATTCGGTGTGATGAAGATGCTAAGTATCTTTAAAACGCTCTTGGCTTGGCTGTTGTTCCCCAGCTTCACTTGGTCTTGCCGTGCCCTGGGCTTTGACTCACAGGCCTGCTGCATTCCATGAACGAGTCACTTAACCTCCTGGGTATCAGTTTGCTTATCTCCCCACTATGCTCCCACAATTAAGAATGAAAACCCATAGCATTAAGCTATTATGAGAATTCAATGAAGTAACATGTAAAAGCATGTGTATGGTGCTTAACAAATGTTAGTTTTCTTTCTCCCTGCATTTCTTTGAAGGCAAGTATAGTACTGCCAAATGAAATGGTTTCTTTTTGCCAAAGAGTTGTGTGCTCCCAAGAAGTGGGGGCAGAAAGGGTCGCTGTGCATTGCAGCCCCTGGCAGGCCACACTGGAATTTTAAGGCGTTCTGAAGGGCACTGCTGAGATTGTTCATCAGGCAGAGCTGCAAAGAGCAGCATCCAAACGGCGTGGCTGCGGCCTGAGAAGTTGCTCTGGCTGCTCCTCAGAATGTCCAGAGGGACTTGCCGCACCGCTGTACGGAGGGCCCAGGAATGGCGTGGCTGCCCTGCGTGCCCAGTGCTTGCTCAGCACTGATGCAGGCTGTGGAGGGAAGGGCCTTTGAGGCTTTTCTATGACTAAGACTTAGAGCCGAACGTATTTGACTTGGGATTAAGGGCATGATTCATTTTTTAAAGATTAAGGCCTAGAAAAGCCTTTCTTAATAATTTTATATTTACATCATGACTTGAATCATTTTTAAATTTAGAAAACCTTGCCTAGTAGAATGTTATGAAGCTTACAGAACATTCTGGGTGTTTGGTGCTGTGTGTAGATATCCAGGAGCTCAGGCTTCTTGTCCCTGAAGCTGGGGATGATTGGTCTTTGCAGGTCATTGGAACCAAGGAAGGAGCACGCTTGTTCTCCTCACAGCCCGCCAGGCAGCCCTGGAGTGAAGCGAGAGGCCGTGGGTTCACTCTCACTTGTGCATGGCCTTGGTGAAGAAGCAGCCTCTTTACACTTCGTTTTCTTCATCTTTAAGCGAGGCTTAAAAATTGCCCCACACAGGGTGGTTTGGTTCTGTTTCAGCTGAGCAGAGGCACACGAAAGCGCAGAGCACCATGCCTAGCGCCTGGGAAGCGCTCAGTACGTCTTAGTTTTCTTCTTGGAGACGTTTTTTCACCTGTGTTTTCAAACAGCACATTGAAAAGTACTGTAACATTCACATCTTGGTCCCTCGGCTGTTAAAACATTAGAAAAGACAGATTGGGTAAAAGTATAAAAGTCTACCATTTGGGCAGGCGCTGTTTTCCAAATCTTCTGTGAGCATCCCTTTCCTGGGCAGTGCGTCTCTTTCACTGTTAGGGTCCTATGGCCCCTATGGCGGAGCTCCCTGCAAATAGCTGAGTCTTGCCTGGCATCCTGGTGCCATTGCTCTTGCCTGGTGTGGTCATGGACTGTGGTTTTTTTTTTTGGAGGGAGATGTCGTTTTGCCCTCTTGCCCAGGCTGGAGTGCAGTGGCATAATCTTGGCTCACTGCAACCTCCGCCTCCCGGGTTCAAGTGATTCTTCTGCCTCAGCCTCCTGAGTAGCTGGGACTACAGGCGCGTGGCACCACAACCAGCTAATTTTTGTATTTTTAGTAGAGACGGGGTTTCACCATATTGACCAGGTTGGTCTCGAACTCCTGACCTTGTGATCTGCCCGCCTCGGCCTCCTCAAAGTGTTGGGATTACAGGCGTGAGCCACTACGCCCGGCCATGGGTTGCTTTCAAAAATCTGATTTTAGGTATGACCCACCATCTGTGTAAACATATTCGTGATGGTTTTCTGAAGACTTTAGCTAGAGAAGTAACCCCTAAGTGTCCTGGGGACTCCTTCATCACGTGGATCGTACCTGGTCTCGTTGAAAACTGGGAAGAAGAACTGCCTGAGATTCAGTGTGGTAAACCCACAGAACGTCAGCACGACTGGTCAAATGAAAGGGAATGTCTTTGGAACATTTGGAGAGCCGGAATATCTCGTAGCCTGCTCTGCTCCCCACCGCTTAGAGAACAGACTCTAATGTACTTGCTTTGCATGGCTTGCAGGGCCTCTGTGGCCTGCCCTGTCTCCAGACTTGATTGTGAGCCCCCTATTTCCCTGGTCCTGCGCTCCTGCTTTTCCTTGTGGAAATACTTAGAGTGGGCCAAATGTGTGCCCGGTTTTGTTCCTGCATTTAGGCTTTATCTCTGGCTTGGAATACCTGTGCTTCCCTGCGCTGCCTGACGATACTTAGTCATCTTTCACGATTTTAGTTCAAGGATTATGTCCTCTATAAAGCCTTTTCTGGAGCCACCCAGGTAGAAATGACTATATTGTCTTTGTAAGTTAGGAATTATTTCAACTGTAAAAGACAAAAGACCTAGTAGTAGATAGTCAATAGGAAGTTATTCTTCTAGTCTATTAAGAAGCTAGAAACAGGTGGCCTCTCTGTCATTCTGTCTTTACCTCATGATTACCAGATGGCTGCTGCAGCTCCAGACAACACTTCTACATCCCAGGCAGAAAGAAAGGAGAAGGGGCAGGTCTAGGGATGTCTATCTTTTGCTTAATAGGGAAGCAAAAATGTTCTTGGGAGATTCGAGTAGGCTTCTGCCCCCATCTCATTAACAGGCAGTGTGTCTCATAGCCACCTCTAATTGCAAGACAGGCTGAGACAATAAATATTTAGCTTTCCTAGAATCTGTGATATAGGTGGGGAATGAGAATGGGGTCAGAAATTGGTGCTTGGTCAGCCAGCCAACAGTATATGCCATATCTTTCTTCCGTGGCGCTTATGGAACTTGACTGTGCATCTTTGTTGACATTTTGGGTCCTTCTCTCTTCTGTGTCTTTGTAGCCCCCAGGTGACCTTGTGTGTTGAATGAGTAAATAGTTGGATCCCTTAGAATATTTTGTAATAGCAGCTGATAGAAACCAGACTAACTTAGGCAAAAATAATTTATGGCACATGTACCTGGAAAGTTCAGGGAGAAATTCAGGTAGGGCTGGAGTCAGGGCTCAAACAACCTCATCAAAACTTGGTTTCTTTCCTTCTGAGCTCTGTCCTCTGCAGTATTGGCTTTAGTTGCAGGCCCCAGGTGCTATCAGAGTGGCTCGTCAGCTCCAGGCCTCACATCCTCTCACTACTGTGTCCAGGAAAAGAGAGCAGGTGCCTTTTAGTAACACCTGTAAAGGAACACTGCTTTCTTTCAGGGGGAGAATGTCCTTTTGCTTTTCACTGCCCCTCATGGAGTTATGTGCTCAGATCGAACTGAGTCCCTGCAAACCACATGGCTGCAAGGAGACCATATATAGTTCCCCTAAAGCAAAACCTAGGAATAGTTGGGCACAGGAGAAGCAGCAAGTGGATGTTAGGAGGCAACTGACAAGGACACAATAGCAAATGACACCTAAGACCCACTCATCCTACCACACTGCTCCAGATCAAAAGTCCTGGTTTCGGTTTGTGACCTGTAATGCTTATGAGTCAAGATAATGCATTGATGAATAGCTGCCCTTCCCAAGTCAGAAAGCATACCTTGGAGAAGCACAACCTTGAAGCGAGTGCACGCTTTATGAACTGCATGTTCTCTTCCTTGGAATTGTGACACTTTCTGACGCAGAAAGCTGGTTATATGCTTCCATTCTTACTAATAAACAGGCTCGTGTTTTATATGAGACTAATTTTCACCTGTAGATAAAAATGTGCACACCATAATGTGCTGGCCAGATTAGCTTTTCATGCCCTTCTCCTAAGTTTTTGCCATTTGAAAGTAGGGAGAATTAGGACAGATGTGATGTCCTTGCTCCATAATTCTTTTTTTTTTTTTTTTTGAGACAAAGTCTTGCTCTGTTTCCCAGGCTGGAGTGCAGTGGCGCAGTCTAGGCTCACTGCAACCTCTGCCTCCCAGGTTCAAGCAATTCTCCTGCCTCAGCCTCCTGAGTAGCTGGGACTACATGTATGTGCCACCTTGCCCAGCTAATTTTTGTATTTTTAGTAGAGACAGGGTTTCACTATGTTGGCCAGGCGGGTCTCAAACCCCTGACCTCGTGATCTGCCCGCCTTGGCGTCCCAAAGTACTGGGATTGCA